CGAGTGAGAACATGTGATATTTTTGCCTTTCTGCACCTGGCTTATGGGTCCCTGTATTTAAGAAGCATAAATGGATTTGCATCAGGGAGATTGACTAGGAAAACAAACCCTGAAAAAGCAAGAATTTATAAGAGAGCCAGGGAGAGAAAACAGAAGTGAAGATGAAAAGGTATAACAGGGTAAGGGACTGCAGGAAAAATAGGAACACAGGAAACACAACACTGACATAAATATTAGGGCTCAAGTGAATTTTATTTTATGATGCAATTGATAGAAGGTTGTAGAAAATAGACAAAAGGAAAAGATAAACATAGATACAATGAACAGGGATAAAGAAGAGATTTCTGTAAAAAGTTTTGGCTGTGTACTTAGTAGATAATTTGTTGGGTGAAAGTCTGTTTATCTCGTGATAGAGTCAGGATTCCTCTTTCACTTGTAAAAGTTGATAAACATAACTCCAAATGGTCAGCAACATCTTTAATTTTAAGGAAGCAGGTCCCAAGGAAGCGTTTCCCAAAGCAGGACTTCTGGCACAGTACTGTGACAAGAGCTTCATGAAGAAAGGGGTTCCTTGGTGAAGTAAGTTTGGAAAATGCTGCACATTACATTCTCCTTCTCAAAGATTCCCATGAACAGTAAAGGATTAGCAGAAAACCTGTTAAACTCACTCTTAATTCAGTGTTTACCAGACCTGTCTGACCACAGGACTCATTTCACTCCAAATCCTATTAACATCCTATAGAGTTATTAGCAAGAGGGTAAGTTCAATATCAGAAAACCTGGATTTGAACCTTCACTCCAACTTTTACTAGCTATGTGACCTGGGGCAGATTACTTAATAATAACCTTAAGCCTCAGCTTCTCCCTGTGTAAAACAGGTTTAACGACGTAAAGTGTTTGGCACGATGTCAGGTACATGGTAATTGTCAGATTAAATACCAGTTATTAGTATCTTTCAGAAGATATTTTGGGAAACCTAAGAACATCCTAAGCTTTCTGCCAAATTATCTGTAAAAAGTATTAAATTATGCCATCATTCTTAGAACATCTAGAAGAAATATACTTTTCCAATCAAAGAAAATTGGGAAGTTTTTCTTGTATTTTTCCTTCCCTTCTTCCCCCCAAACTTTTTTTTCCAGTTGGGAAATTTCAAATCAAACCAAGAAAAACCAGAAGTTAGTCACATCACAGCAAGCCAATTATTTGCAGCAAAGAAGCGTCATAGGCAACAGTCTATAACAGCGATGTAAATAGATCTTGGATCAAAGATAACCATTTCCAAGGTGAAGCTACCTTAGAAAAACACAGCTATCACACAGGTCAGTAAGACTGTGTTCATGCCAAACACAGCAGTGGAATAGGTGAAACCTGGTTTCCTGCCCTTGACTATCCAATTCAGAGAAAAAAAGCCTTCCTTACTTCCTTCCACAACCTGCCAACCTTGATCATGTACTAAGGGCCCTACGAGTCTGCATTGCTCCCTCTACCCATATGATTTTCAGGAAAAATCTAAAACCTCATACATGCTCTGGGGTTACTACTCTGAATTATGTGCATTTGCCTCCTAACATCCTTCAACTTCTTCAGTCTGAGTAAAATTCTAAAAGTGAAATGTCAGGAATTTGCTAACAAAGTATGGAGTGAGGAGGCCTTCCTAGAGAGGGCTCCTACAATTGCTCCTGTGGAAAGTAGATTCTCCAACCTCTGTGTCTTCTCTGGGGCGCTAAAGCCTTATTTCTAAGGGTGCGTGCAAAGTCCTTTGGGCCGTGCTTGGCATTTTCAGCACATTACTTGGCAGCATCTGGATTTTCTCAGATCTATTCTCACTGTATGTTACACTGAGCTGGGAAACCCCCTTTGAAGCCTAAATGAGTTATCACACATTGCTAAGTCTAGGCTTTCAGGTGACAGTGCCAGGAAAGACAATTCAACCCTCGACCAACATTATGAGCTTATCATTATCTCCCAAACAAGATGTCATTAGCAGCCACTGCCCCATCTTTCAGAAAGATCACAGATCTATCCCATAGGTACACACTGCCAAGGAGTGCTGAGAGCATTCTCTCCATAATCGAAAGTCTTGCTCACCTTTTGTCCTGTGCAAGTGCTTCTTTAATGAATGAATGATGAATGAATGAATAGCTTTTTTCCATTCCTACTTCAAACTTGTGACCCATAGAGCTAGGCCAATCCTAAGTCTATTATTCTAAAGACATGGTTCTGACACCTGTTCACTGGCCTAAGAAAACAGAAATAAGTAGGAGGAAAATGTCATGCTCAATCCCCAGCATCCCAAACCCAAAAATCAATTGTTGAAGTGTCCGATTCATCAAGTGAAACTCAAGATCTTCAAAAAGTTGCCCTGTTACTAGTTTTGTAAGACATGTTTTATGCCACATTTCAATATACTTATTTCCATTGTATTTACAAAATTATGGCTTAAACTACATTGAAATAAACTTGTAACATAACCATTTATTACATTCATTTGTTGCTTACTCAGCAAACAATAGAGATAGCTGCCTAGTGTTGATAGGCAGTTAGTGATACTATAGAAAGTGCGATGCTCCATGTTCTCACTCATAGGCGGGTGTTGAACAATGAGAGCACATGGACACAGGGAGGGGAGCACTACACACTGGGGTCAGTTGAGGGGAAATAGGGGAGGGACGGTGGGGGGTGGGAAACTGGGGAGAGATAGCAAGGGGAGAAATGCCAGATGTAGGTGATGGGGAGGAAGGCAGCAAATCACACTGCCACGTGTGTTCCTATGCAACAATTTTGCATGTTCTTCACATGTACCCCAAAACCTAAAATGCAATAAAATAAATAAATGGGGAAAAAAAAAAAAGAAAAAGAAAGTGCGATGCTCATGCTGACACCCAGTAGGCAGTTTTTTAAGAGTAAAATTGTCCCACTGCATTTCATTTTGAAATAAGAACATCAGTTCCTGCTTTATTTTCAAGGCCTCTGCCCACACTGGATTAAGGCCAACACACACTTCACTGCTTTGGTATTTAAGTGGCATATACTTAATGTCACTTACCGTATGGCTCCTGGGCGCATGCTTCAATGACCTCATGTGGTGTGTAACATTAGTTTCTTAAAAGCTCCATAGCACCTTGCCTTTAATTATAGGTATGAAATTATTCAAAGCAATATTACTAAGAAATCTTCCACTCGGCCCAAATATTATGGAATGTTATTGGCAGCAATCCACCTCATGAAGGATTTGTGGGGTACTTAAAAGGAAATTAGAATGACCTACAAATTGCCTTTACTTAGGAATACAGCAGGCAGAGCACCCAGCTGTGGTCATGGGAGGTGCAAGAATTTATCTTATGAGCCTGTCCTTCTCCCCACATTCATTTTATTACTAATGGTCATAGGATTATAGGCTTAATAGATCTTTGTTAAAGGACTGAGTAATTCACCTGTGGCTAACATAATTGAGTTACACTGTCTTGTGTACTTCACCATATTATTTTTCTACTATTACCTTTCAAAATTTTTTATGTACAGGTATTTGCCCCATAAATTCATATATTTAAATCCTTCAATTGATATGTAACATTTTCTCTTTTAATTTTGCCATACTCTATTTTATCTCTTTCTTCCATTATATCTGCTCTCTATGACACAAAAATCGCCAAGGAATGCAACTGGACATGACATCAAACTCCATAAAAACCAGAGCCTTGTTCCCCACTATGTCCCTACAAGTGTATATTATGGGTAGCACAAAGGAGGTATTCAATAAGAATACGAATGAATACATGAACAAACAGTCAAACAGAAAAACTGATACTGTATGTCATGAAGAAACAAAAAGAACAGGATAGACACTTATTCTGAAATAAAAGGCCTTGGAACAAGACTACATAGTGTATTGGATGGACAGGTTCTTTGCATATAAAGTTGAGGACACACCTAGATTGCTGTGAGGAGTAAGTGAAATAATGTAAGTGAAAACTGCACAAAAATGGTAATGCACTACTCAGAGAGAGTGTCTTGAACATGACAACGAGCTGTGAGTAAAATAAAGCTAGCAATTAAAACTACAACATGGAATTGCAGCAATCCCAGGGTCTTCCTCAGAGCAGGGTGCAGTAAGCATTTCTGAATGAATTTGTGGCCCTGCTTTGGGCCTCAGGGATTGATATGGTTTGGTTCTGTCCTCATCCAAATCTCATCTCAAATTGTAATCCCCATATGCCAAGGGAGGGACCTGCTGGGAGGTGACTGGATTGTGGGGCAGTTTCCCCAATGCTGTTCTCATGATAGTGAGTGAGTTCTCACAAGATCTGATGGTTTAAAAGTGCTCGGCAGATCCCCTCTTGCGCTCTCTCTCCTGCCGCCTTGTGCAGAAGGCACTTGCTTCTCCTTTAACTTCTGCCATGATTGTAAGTTTCCTGAGGCCTCCCCAACCATGCGGAACTATGAAGTCAATTAAAAAAATCTTTTTTCTTATAAATTACCCAGTGTCAAGTAGTTCTTTATAGCAGTGTGAAAATGGACTAATATAGATGGGTAAAGAAGATCATGGAACTTGGGACTGTGGAAGGAAAACATTTTATTGCAAATAACTGATAGTTACAAAAACACTTTTTAAATTTTATTGTTAGATGTTAGCCAAAAATCTAGAAACTAACATTTTCCCAGATTGCAAAATAAGGGCTTTTCATTTTTCAAAGTCTCTAAGGGTAAAGTACATCCCCAGGTAAAATGAGTATAGGTCAGTCTCCTTTGGCTTTGTGGATTCTTTCCAAAAATTTTGAGACTATTTAGCTTTCCCAGTGTATTCTCAAAAATTTTTGAGGCTATTTAGCTTTCCCACATCAGAGTATACCCAGGCAGGGTAGAAAGCAAATAAACTAAGCTGACTGTGCCTTTTTCCAAATCAGCATATGTGCTTGGCTCCTGAAAAAAAATTCTGATATATAGGCATTTTCACTACTTAGTGAGATATTAGTGAAGACCTGTTAACATATAACACACAGTAACTGTTGCATGTTTTTAATATACACTTGAATTTTCCAGAAATGTGACTGCTGTGTAAATCAGGGCAAGACTATAAGATATTTTTTGTTCAAAACCTTAACAAGAGTTGCCCACCATTTCAGAAAGTCACATCCAATGACAACACTGTGATTTTCTGTTGCCAGTACACTGATCTTCATTTATAGCTGGTGGCTCTACATACAGGTTTAGGCATCTAATGGCTTAATTTTATCTTCTAGGGTTGTTATACCCAAGCATTTTTATTGAAATAAATTTTATTTTATTAAAAGTTGCTTTCTTTTTTCTGCTTTATATTATAGTTAGGGTACTATGTTCATTGCTTAAAATTATATGTGCACATAATTATATTTTGATTTTCATTTCATATTCAGAATAAAATATTTGTTATGAGAGGCAACATTGAGTCTGTAGGGTTAAGACAGCCACTAATTTTATCCAACCTCCTCACCCTACAATTAAACTGAGGCTCAGAGAAGTGAAGTAACTTGTTCAAGGCCAGCTGATGACCAAGTCAGCACTAGCAGTTACCTAGGCAGATAGTGCTCCTTCCAGCACACTGCATTGCTTCAAAGTGATAACTGTGTAAATATGCAAAGAGGGCAAAAAATTCAACTCATACTTCAAAACGAGTTGGTGACCATTAGACTCAAGGGGCAGGCACTGAGAGGTCCCCCAAACCTCCAGCACAGGAATAAGATGCTTTAGAGAAGCTGTTCGCTTTGTTTTCACCTGAAAAGCATCAGGCGCTGGTTCTGGCACTGAGCTTATACAAAACTCAGCTGAGGCCAATTCAGTGTCTCTCTCAAAGGTATATGGAGAAAGCAGATGTTTGTAAGGCTTGTGTTTAAAGCTGGCTTGAAGGTGAAAAAAAGGCGGAAATAATATTACTTATTGCAAGAAAGCAACATTCTATTTTTATCTTGAATGTAAACTTCCAAAAGTATTTGACAGTGAAGAAGTCAAGGGATATATACTCAATTTAAAATCAGTAAATGGAGCCCCTGGTTTTAGGCCTTGAGTTTAAGTAGTTTTGGTCAGATGGAATTCAACAGGAGGCCTGAACTTGCAAATAACTAGGTAGAACAGGTGAAAAGCATACCCCAAGACACTTTGATATATAACACATGCATTAAAACAGTTTGAAATATTCCCAGGAGATACGCATGGGGTAATTAACATTTCTCTCAGAGCTGGCTTGTAGTCAAATCACTGCTCTACATTTATGGAACAAAGAAATTCTCTCTTGGACATTCATTACTCAAATGAACCAAACAGTGCACTCTCAAAATCAGCCAACTAATGTCTCAAAAGCAAGCCAACTAATAATATTTTTTAAATGCTCTTCTATACTTAGCCTTAAGCCACTGCTACTAACATAAGTTCCCCAACCTGAGATTAGGGCTGTCTTCCAAACCTTAAAGGAAAATTAAAACACCTAATATTGGTTTCAAACTAAAGCTGATACCAACAATTACAATATTTACGATCCATCTGCAAACTAAAATGATTCATTTTTTCTTTTAGCCTCCGCATGGTAAATGCTTCCAGTTACTTCACCTAGTTCCCATAAAAGAGCCTAGTGTTTTGAGATGGAAATCCTGAGCCTTTGTAACGGACTTTGTTTCAAATGAATATGATCCTAAACACCTATACAATCGTTTTTATGAAATTAATGGAATTTGTATCTATAAAATAAAATGCAATGTATCTAAAGTTACAAATGCGCTAAGCCAAAACATTTAACTCTCTGTGTGGAGTGATACACAGAATTGCCTTTTGATATTATCTTAAGTGAGGTCTGAGGCACACACAGCAGGCAGATGGAGGCACCGGAGAGGCAGCTGTTTCCACGCCCGGGAGCAAAGGAGCAGGTCTGGTGGTTTTAAAATCCTAGGGAGAAAAATAAACAGTTCATCATTATGGTCACTTTCTTTGATTTTCTTTTGGAGGTGCCTAAATGAAAGAGGTAGTTAATCTAGGTTTATGGCAATGAGGCCTCTTGGGTGGAAGTGTGGAAGCTCCTCCTACATGACCCATGGGACCTGCCAGGGTACCATCAGCCAGAGGCCCAGACATTAAAGGTGTGAGGAGGAAGAAAAAGATGCTCCCTAGGAAGCAAAACATTCATTTTGCTGCACAGTGCTAAGGACTAGAAGGAGTATTAAAAGGCAGAAAACTCGATCCATCTGAACTGATCCCACTTACTTGGCAATCCACATCTTATTGGAGAAGGACTCCGACTTCGAGACATCTGAAAAGTATAAAAGAATAACGTGAATTACACAGTAGATGAAGCTCAAAAGATGAATCCTTTTGACATACTTTTTTTTCCTAAAACCAACCAAACAGTTGCTGAGGCACTTTAGCCCTATGATATTCCCCCCTTAAGGCTAATTGTGATTGTTTTTAGGCCTCTGAAGTATGTGGGCACTCAATTTGATTTAAATTATATTATTAGTTAAAAGCTGGGTTCAGTGGCCTAAGAGCAGCCATACTGAATTCAGTGCTTTCCAGAAAGTAAAAATATTTATTAAAATTCACAAATTAAAGGTAAAATGGTGATATAATCTCTGGAAGCCTCTTTACAAAAATTATAAGTCAGAAACTCTGCTCTATTAAGAAAAGTCACCAGGCAGCCAGAAAATCATCATCTTTCAAATCTCATTTTTACTTTCACTAAGCAGAAGGTACTGCACTGGAACCCCAAGTCTGTGACGTAGCCGGTCAGGTGTGACTGGCTAACATCATTGCTCTGAGCTTTCAAACACTCTAGGTAGATAGATGCTGATAAAAATGGAATCCATTCTGCATGAATCAAAACCACACATAAGCAAAAAGTAACCCGACTAACCAAAAATATTTGTATATTATTTGGCAGATATGCCCCATTTTGTTGTGGCAAGAGGATGATGGAAACAGAAAGTTGGCTGCAGTTTTACCTTTGAGAATATATCGTATTCTCATCTAATGTTTAAATTAATGTGTTCTTTCTGAGCACAACATGAGAAAGAAAGAGAAGATATAGGGGACTCTCACAGAGGACATGGCCCATGGATAAGCCTTTTGATGAGAGTCCAGAGTTACCATTCGCCATGGCTGTTGCACAATAAGTGTCTAACAGTATTTTCTTCTGACATGCCATTTCCTTTTAGAATGGGGAATTGTGGTTCTCCCAGCATCATGCTCCCAAAATTTCCTTTTTATTTACCAATCCACGAACTGCACTATCGCTTTGCTTTTACCTAGTATAAATACTTATTCGTGAAAAAAGATAATGAAGCTACATGAAAATCTCCAAAAGCAAAAGGATTGTGTCAGATGCATGACTTTTCCATTTCTCCATTATTTTTTTTTTTTAGGCCATTTTCTTCACTTGAATGTTCCTTCCCAATTTCCTAGCCCATTGAAATTCCACGCATTCTAAAACACCAAATTAAATACTACCTTCCCCATGAACACCTCCCTCATGACCAAATCTGGGAGGAATCTCTATCTCGTCTGATGACTCTAGCCCTTTCTGCTTCTTTTATTGACTATCATGTTGCATCACATTATGAATGTATTGATTTGTAGACTCTATCACATTCCATTAATTTGTTTAAATTATAATAATCTTTCTTTCATGTATTTTTTCAACTTTTAAGTTAAGGTGTACATGTGCAGGTTTGTTATATAGGTAAATCTTTGTCATGGGGGATTTTTGGACAGATTTTCATCTCCCAGGTATTAAACCTAGTACATTAATTATTTTTCTCAATCCTCTCCCTTTTCCCACCATCCACTGTCTGGAGAGCCCCGGTGTCTATTGTTCCCTCTTTGTGTCCATCTGTTCGAATCATTTAGCTCCCACTTATAAGTAAGAATGGTATTTGGTTTTCTGTTCCTGTGTTAGTTTGCTAAGGATAATGACCTCCAGTTCCATCCATGTTCCTGCAAAGGATATGATCTCGTGATCTTCCTGAATTAAGACCTATTCAGGGAAGAGACCATGCTTTTGTCATTTCTGTGTTCCTCCTAAATCTAGCATCCCTCAGATCCAGGAGGAATGTTTGATAAGGAGCATGCAGGAGTCACAATAGATGCTCATCAAAGTCAGTAAGGAAGCTGGGTCTCATCCACTGCAGGGGTTTTTGGTTTTGTTTTTGTTTTGCTGAGGAGGTTTTATAACTTTGGGGCTATAGCTGCATGCTAGAGACAATTTCAGAAAAGTGTAGGGTTGCCAGATGTGATTCTCCTTCTCCACCACTCTCTCTAAAACAGGGTTGAACAACTATTTAAATGATTATTATTTGGAGGAACAGCACATTGTTAGCCTATTTGGTGTCCACACATCTTAGTCTAGTCAAAAGGTACTGACTAAATATTTGTGGAATTAATGAATAGTGGTGAATCATAATAAATGTTTTTTTTTTTTTTATCATTTGGGGGGTTTTGTTTCATTTTGTTTAAGACAGGGTCTCACTCTTTCACCCAGGCTAGAGTGCAGTGGTGCAATCACAGCCCACTGCAGCCTTGACCTCCCTGGGCTCAAGTGATCTTCCCAGCTCAACCTCCTAAAGTAGCTGTGATTATAGGCACACGCCACCATGCCTGGCTAATTTTGGGGGGTGGGGATTTTTTGTTATGCCCAGCTAATTCTGGGGAGAATTTTTGTTTTGTTTTGTAGAGACGATGTTACCCATGTTGCCCTGAAGCTCCTGGGGTCAAGCCATCCTCCCATCTTAGCCTCTGAAAGTACTAGAATTACAGGTGTGAGCCACACTGCCCAGCCCATAATAATGTTTTTAGGGATGTTTTCTTCATAGTTTTAATAGATGTGCTGTTATTTTTTTCTTTAACTGAAGTATTAGCAATCTTTCCAAAAACTAATATACACAAAAAGCCTATTCTTTTTTCTAATTTGAAGTTGAGGACAAATTAACACCTGCAATGCCCTTTAGAAGGTATTGAAGTCCAGACCATTTGAGCAATTTCTCCAAACTCATACACGAATGTCTAGAGGAACCAGGCACCTGTGCCCAGATCAGTTGACTAAGGTATCCCATTCACTCTTCAGTCAACTATCTGATCTCCAATGGCTCATTTCATCCAAAGATAAAAAATGTAACTATGAAATACATAAAATCTACTACCCCTTGAACTAAGAAAGAAAGATAAAACTACCTCTACTTCTTTCTAGAATAATAAATTCTATAGCCCACAGTAGTACAAAAGTCAGTTTGGAGCCAGCATAACTGCAACAGGTCCTCTTTCCACCTGCAGACTTACAATCACCTCTTTTGTACTGCTGAGGAAAAAAGTGTCAACCATAGATGGATTTTGTATAAAAATGATCAGATAGATATTTACCGTGCTTAAACCAATATGGCTACGGGGGCAAACGGGACTTAAACTCCTGCTTCGACATCGAGTTAGAGGTCGCACCGAATTCCACTTAAAAAAAGAAAGAGAGAGAAAGAGAGAGAGACATAGTCAGGAGTTTGTGAAAGTTGCTATAGCTTAAGACAACATGCATATCCCATAGAATGAGGATTCTACTGATGTGATTACACTTGCCCATTACTGATCATCCGCACAATTATACTCATTTTACTTCCTATAGCTGCCCAACATTTGGCAATAACTTCAAGGTACTTTCTAAATAGAATCCCATTACAATGAACCTTGGGATATTCTGGTGTTTGGTGCCAGTAGAATTTTTTTACGAGTAACCTATTAGAAATTACATAGGAGTTTGAAAGTGTTGGAGAATGTAAGCTGCATGTGGGTAGAGATTTGTATCCGTTTTATTTATTGCTAAATTTCTAGCACATAAATGCAGTGTTTGGGTCATATAATAACTATCGAATAAATAAATATCATTGGATGAATTAATGAAACACCACTACTGCCTATCTGCTTTCTAACTAAATGAGTAAGCAAGAAGAAATCTATATTCACTAAAATGAGATTTTACTGGTAAAATCCTTAAAATTTTCCTTAATTCAACCCCTTTCTTTACCAAGTTCTTTCTTTTAGGGAGAACTTCCTTATTTCATTTTAGGGCTGAAGCTTGGACAAATGTTTGTGATAGCTGATGGGAGAGAAGAAGGAAGTCAAAAGGCAATTGCTATTTGATGTAAAACATAAGAATAGTGGGTATTTCTTCTCCCTCCCTCCCAAACTGCACTGCAGAGAAGATCTTAACAGAGAGTGACTGCCATAGGAGCAAGAAGTATGCTTTATTGTAGAACATGTGTAGCTGTCAGATCTATAAAACCCAATTTCTATTTCTAAGGGCTCAACCTTCTTTTGTTTAAAGACAGGATCTCAGGCTGGGTATGGTGGCTTATGCCTGTAATCTCAGCACTTTGGGAGGCCAAGGTGGGCAGATCACGAGGTAAGGAGTTTGAGACCAGCCTGGCCAACATGATGAAATTAAATTAAATTATGATTTAATTTAATTATAATTAAAATAATTATGATTATTATAATAATTAATTAATTAATATTTTAATTAATTAAAATAATTAATATTAATGTAATTTAATTAATATTAATATAATATTGATTATATTAATATAATATAATTAATATATATAATTATATTAATAATGTAATTATATATATTAATATTATATGTTTATATATAATATATATTTTATATATATTATATATAATATATAATGATATATATTAAATATAATATAAGTTTATGTATTATTTATATAAACTTATATTTAAGTTTATATAAATATAAAACTTAGTCTGGTGTGGTGGCAGGCACCTGTAATACCAGCTGCTTGGGAAGCTGAGGCAGGAGAATCACTTGAACCCATGAGCCGGAGGTTGCAGTGAGCCAAGATCACACCACTGCACTCTACCCCAGGTGACAGAGCAAGACTGCGTCTCAGAAAAAAAAAAAGAAAAAGGACAGGATCTCGCTCTGTCACCCAGACTGGAGTGCAGTGGCACAACATGGCTCATACAGCCTCTATCTGTACAGCTCAAGTGATCCTCCCTCCTCAGTCTCCCGAGTAGCTGGTACTACAGGTATGCACCACCATGCCTAGCTAATTTATTTTTTTGTAGAGATGAGGTCTCACTATGTTGCCTAGGTGCGTCTCAAAATCCTCAAACGATCCTCCTGCCATGGTTTCACAAAGTGCTAGGATTGCAGGTGTGAGCCATCATGCCCAGCCAATGGCTCAACATTTATGGAACAAAATATTTTAAGATAGTATTCACCGTAATGGGATTTTTAAGCTAAAAAATATCCTTTTCTTAAGTTCTCTTAAAATAAAATATTCCCCTTCACCACCGTATGTATAAAAGGTACCATAAAGCACTTCCCCTATTCTCCAGTTCAAAAAGAACAGGAACAGAGACCAGCCAGCTGTTGGCATCACCCTGGACTACGGGGCTTCGCTTAGCTCTTTCTAGTAAAACTACATAACATAAACTATGCAGAATATCCACACACTACCAATTCCATCACCCAATCCCCACTACAACATGTACATTCCCACATACTCACATACGGTACATAAGACTCCATTTTAAAGGCTGCTCAAGTATTTAACATTCTATAGATTGAAAACATTGTATAACCAATGGATATGGATATAGGAAGTAACTTTCCCAAACTGATAGGATCCTCTCTCCCACCTCCGCTGCCCTCTGTGTCTCCATCCCTCCCATCCGTACACATCATACCAAGGAGAGAAAAATGGCACATTCACAGTTTCCCAAAATACAGAACTGTCAGTAAAAATTTGGCAAATCATTTCCTGAAAGTTAACCAATTTTAAGTGCTTAGAATTATAGAACTCCTCCTATAAGTTCAAAGGGCTTTGGTTTTAAAATATCATAATAATTGTAAGATGGAGGAGGTAAATATGACTGATTCCATCTTCTTTTTTGTTTTTTTGTTTGTTTGATTTTGGTTGAGATGGGGTTTCTCCATGTTGGTCAGGCTGGTCTTGAACTCCTGACCTCATGTAATCCACCCACCTCGGCATCCCAAAGAGCTGAGATTATAGGCATGAGCCACCATGCCTGGCTCCATCTTCTAAATAAAGCAAGAAGCAAAGAAATCACTGCCAGGAAATTACACAGAATTATAGAAGAATCAAAGAAAAGAATCGGTTCTTTTTGAGATCATCTCTATCCTCTCCTTTGTATGAAATCTTATCAACTCTTTATGAATTTCTTTTATAGAATCTCTGGGTTTATAAATGTTCTCGAACTTGTGAATCAAACACTTGGGATGAATTGTCACTATGCAAGGCCACCGTACAAAAGCCCCTCTCTTGGTGACAGCTTCTCCCTTCATAATGACACAGTCATTCTCCATGAGAGCAGGCCACACGTGATAGAGAACTAAGGGAGCAGTGAAATCCGAGTCGTAGCTGCGGCGGTATCTGTTTTAAATAAACAAAACAAAAAAGAGAAGTTAAGCAATTATGGAGCATAACTAGGGGGAAACATCAGTGTGAATTTTCATCTTGTATTATACTCAGATCTAGATAAATATAGATCCTAATTCTGTTATTAAAGAATGGTTGTGGCCTCTTAGAATAGGAGCTAACGATAACTGGGACCCAGCCTGGATACATTAAGACCAAGTCATGTCAAACTAATTATATTCCTTCTCTTCTCAGGATTACAGAGTTGCAATTCAGGGAAATGCTGAAGACGTAGACTAGATATCTGAAATTCCACTGGGCTTCCCAAAGAATTTCTCGTGCTTTGTGGACAAATAAAAGAAATATAGGAGGATGATTAACTTAAGTAGGTGGATTGGAAACTAAGAAGATGCTGAGGGCTCTCTCTCAATCCTGTGATAAATTATCATGTTTATGAATGACTCATATGAGATATAGAAAACATGCTCAAAGAGGCAGGTGATTAGCCAAAAAACAAAAGATGACATTGAAAACAGCTCAACAGACTGGAACAATAAGCTGAGTTTAATAAGATAAAATGAAATGTGAATACATTTAAGGTCCTATATAATTGAGTCTAAAAAGTATTTGCACAAATAGAGGAGATATATGGTTTAGTCACAGTACAAGTAGAAATATAGCAGGTTTCAGCTGTATTCAAAATGAATGAACACTGTCACAAGAGAAAGACAAAGACAGAGAGAGAGAGGGAGGGAGGGAAGGAGAGAGGGAGGGGGAGAAAGAGGGACAGAAGGGAGGGAGGGAGGAAGGGAGGGAGGGAGGAAGGAAGGAAGAAAGGAAGGAAGGAAAGAGAAAACTGCAAATTAGCTGAATTAATGGAGAATAAGAATAAAAAGGGTGTTAGTCCCTCTAGGCTGGTCAGTTTACTTTCTTTAAAAGGGGTACTCAGAAGAGCACAGTGCACAGATACCAAAAAAATGAATCTATTTGTCAAGAAATCCCAAACCTACTTTATATGAAGAAAACCTGAAGCCACGAGGCCAGAAGGAGGAGGATTTGAGTAATTGCTTTCAAATGTACAAAAGGCTGCCAGGGTGAAAAAAGGGTTAGCCTTGTTAGGTGAAGTTCTAGAAGTAGAACCAAATCCAATAATTGTTAGAATTAGCTACACAGATGTCCAGTCACACGGGCCAGAGAATGCCCTAGAAGCTGCACATGCCCTCTGGTTAAAGGCATGTCAGCGAGAGGCCCTATGGAAGTCTTTGATATGTACAGATTCCATAAACTAAAATGGTGAGTGGTTCTGAGTGGTACTATCCATCCTCTAAAGGATAAAGGAATAAAGGGAGACAAATGAAGATAATGTGCTCTGTAAGGGAATCAAAAAGATCCAACTGCAGTGTAATGTTCTATTATCAGCTCTTTCATGAGGTGATGCATGTTGGAGAAACTAGAAACCGGGCAATGGCAAGAAACTATGGCATGCTGTAAGGCAACTGGAAAGTTCATTATTGCTGTGATTTGCATAACTCAAAGACAGCGAATGATTCTGAGTGGTAATATCCATCCTCTGTCATCAACAAGCTTGCAGGAATGCTGGGCATAACTCTAAAACTTAAGCAAGAACCCAGAGTGAATACTTCCTGGGCACCCGCTTCATGCCAGGCAGCATCCTAAGTGCTTTGTCTGAATTATCTCAACTAACCTTCTACAGCCCTAGGAAGTAGGCATTATAATTTCTGCCATTGGCTAGAGAAGAAACTAAGTAACAGAAAAATTAAGTGGCATGCCTAACATTATACAGCTAATAGGTGGTGGAGCTGAAATTTGAACCTAAGCAGCTAAGGCCAGAACCTATGTTCTTAACCACTAGCTTGGCTTCTTTCCAGATAATCTCCAGCTATATCCTGTGATCTCAAGAAGTCACAATAAAATGTTTTAAATTAATTGAATGTCTTTTAATGTATAAGGGGAATATTCGCCCTGTAAAAGTTGGTAGCAATCTGCTGGTCCTAGACAAAAGAGTCAAGAGCACTAAGTTTCAAACATGCGTGTGCATAAGGAACACCTGGGTGCTTGTTAAATTGAGAATTCCTGAGTCCCATCTTAGATCTACTGCATAAAATGCCATGAAATGTAATCCAGGAATGTGTATTTTTAACAAGTACCTTGAGTAATTCTGATGCAGGTGATCCACACATCATACTTTGAGAAACCTGGCCTAAGTAATGCAATAAAAACCAATAGAAAGTAATGCACATTTGTATTTATAGAGCACCTTTTAAAAAACTGCTCTAGACAGGCTCCAGGTCCTCATTAGTTCTCCCCCAAAGACCAACATTCTCAATGGAAGATGATTCCAGGAGTCGGTCCTGCCCTTGAGTACAGAGAAGTATATGGTAGGACCTGGAAATCAGGTAGTGTCTGCTGATTTCCCCACCCTAAGTTCTTTTCCCTAAATTGCTCTCAGGAAACAGAGATAAGACAATGAATTCATGATGAATCCCACAGTCTCTGCTCCTGTGTCTCTTACTTGCAATCATTAAAAACTTCTCCATCTGCCCCGTATGCAATATCTAGGGGTGGTTCTAAGGCCTGCATTGCAAAGGCAATGCAACATATCTCCTGGATGAAGTCACTGAGGAGGCAGAAGTCAACAACAGGAGGGAAGGAAATCTTGGGATTGACATTCATGGCTCGGATCACATCCTGAAAAACAAAAGATGGCATCACTTTGTCAGCTGTGACAAAAACACTGTGACATCCTAAGACTACTAGGACTGATGGGAGGTGGGGAAAGAGCATGTGAGCCAAAACAAGTTAAAGCAGAAAAACAGTGCATGTGCTAAAAGGAGAAAGACGTTGCCGCCCATTAACAGGAAAGGAGGAAAGAGGACACAGAGTAGAAATGACACAGTAAAAGCCAAGGGGGTCGTAAAAAAATAAGGAAACAGGCCTTCTGTGGCTTTTACTTATTGTTTCCTTATTTTTCCATTCTGGGCAAGGGTATGATGTGCCAACACAGAATTCTGAGTTGTTTATAAACCATAATAATCACTATAATAGTTTGCTTTTATTGAGTATTAACTATGTGCCAAGTCTTGTGCTAAGCAAATTGCCTACATTCTCTCATTTAATGCTCTCACTGACTCTATGGAGTAACAAACATTGTTACTCTCGCTTAAAGATGAGAAAACTAAAGCACAGAGAGATTAACTAAATGTGTAAGATCACACAGCTAGTAAGTGGCAGAGTCAGGAAGCAAATCCATACTTATTTTTCCCAAAATCTTTGCTTTTAAGAGCTATGATACTCTGTCTCCTGAAGAGCCTATCTAAAGAAACTCAGACAATTTCTTCCCCATAATATGTTTAAGGAAGAAACAGTCAATAATGGCAGATGCTACCAAGTAAATTGGATGCTGTTCTTCTCTTCTTTTTCATTACATAGAATTAATACTAACTACTGGATGGATTTCTGAGTTATTAGCACTCAACATAAACAGCAGCAGCAACAGCAAACTAGTCCTAATAAAAGACCCAACACTTACATTGACACTGCTTTGGGAATCATATAGATCAAGATGACAAACGACATAGTCCGAAACAGCATTCTCAAAGTCATTCGACCCTGCGTACGACGGTGTCAACGATTTTCTCACACGGATCTTGAAATGTCTGAATGCCATTTTTGCTACATGGAATGCCTCCTGCACATAAAAATGCGGCAGATTTATTTGGTGGAAACAGGTAGGTGAAGAGATGCAAAGCAAGGAATTAGAAAGAATCCAAGCTTCAACATCATAGCAGTTTCCTGATAACTAAATGCAGTCAGTCACAAAAACATTTTTAATCTGGAAGGAAATACATCTCTAATTTTGAAAAGTACATAAACACATATATGATCATCCATGCTCACTAATGTCAAGACAGTTGACCATTGTTCTGGAAATTCTGAGTGCAGGAAGCAGGACAGTACAGAGATTGAAAGAAATAAACCCTCTGCTATGAGCCCATAGCAATATCACATTACTGGTCAATAAATAAGAGAAAATGAGCAGTAGTGTTTATGTTACAAACACATATCAAGACTCAGGCATGTTTCCTGGCATATATTAATTCAACAAATATTTATTAAATGCCTACTGTGTGGCAAGCATTGAGAAAACACACTTATGCGAGGAAGATGTGGCCACACATTTACAGACCTTTAACAAACTCAGTTAGCGGTTCTTAATTATTTAAATCAGGGGACAGCAAACATTTTTCTATAAGGAGCCACACAGCAGATATTGTAGGCATGTTGGGCTACATATAGTTTCTGTCTTTTTTGTTGTTGTTGTTGTTAACAACTCTTTAAAAATCTAAACACATTCTTACATTCTTAGCTCTCAGGCAGTAGTATTTCTCTTAGAAATGTGAGTCAGGGGCTGGATGTGGTGGCTCATGCCTGTAATCCCAGCACTTTGGTAGGCCAAGGCAAGTGAATCACGAGATCAGGAGTTCAAGACCAGCTTGATCAACATGGTGAAACTCTATCTCTACTAAAAATACAAAAATTATCTGGGTGTGGTGGCGCACATCTATAATCCCAGCTGCTCAGAAGGCTAAGGAAGGAGAATCGCTTGAACCCAGGAGGCAGAGGTTGCCAGGAGTCAAGATGGCAAGATGGCACCACTGCACTCCAGCCTGGGCAACAGAGTGAGACTCCACCTCAAAAAAAAAAAAAAAAAAAGAAAAAGAAAAGAAAAGAAATGAAATATGAGCCAGGTCCAGATACAGTCCATAGGTCATGGTTTGCTAACCCCTGATTTAAATAAATATAGGATAAAGTTCCGTATTTCTCATAATTCTGCTCTCATACCAATGTTTTGTTTTGTTTCTTAATATTCAACAATTCTCATTATGAACTCTCAGGATGTTAGTATGGTACCAACCCATAAAACAAACATATTTGTTTTGGAAATTAAGGATACATACGTGCACTTTTTACATTTGTCATACTCAAATAGCTGATATGTTAGCAGTTTTAATAACTACTCTTAATTAAATAAACAGAAGGGTTAACACAGTCACAACCTTCTGATTTTCTTTTAGAGCTGAAGGAAACCAAATGACAGCCATTGGCAATACTATATTCACTGTGTGTGTATATGTCCATATTAGACAAAAGGTACAGTGCAAATCAACTTTGTATAAACCCATTTGAGTTAGTCCTGTGTTTATGGTATTTATGGCTACTTCTTAAACACCTGGTCAATATAACTAAATAAATAAATAAATATTATAGAACTATTCACATATATATATATATATATATATAAATAGTTATTGACTGTGAAAATGAATCATGCCCCCCCCCTCCAAATAATTGAAAGGGAAGGGAAGAGAAGGGAAGGGAGGAAGGGAGGAAGAAAGGGAAGGAAGAGAGAGGGGAAGGAAGAGAGAGAGGAAGGAAACAATGGAGGAAGAAGGGAGAAATGAAGGAAAGAAGGAGGAAGGGATAGAAAGAGAGAGGGAGAGAAGGTGAGAGGGAGAGGGGAAGAGAGGAAGTAAAGAAAGGAGGGAGGGAGAAGGGAGGGAGGAGGGAGAGAAGGAAGGAAGGAAGGAAGGAAAGGAGGTAGGGGAAAGGAGGAAGGAAGGGGAAAGGAAGAAGAAAGGGAGTGAGGGAGGAAGGAAGAAAGAAGAGAAGGAAGGAGACAGATGGGGAGGCTGGAATCTCCCCCACTTCAGTGACCTCAGGATCCACTAGTCTTTGTAAGTTGTTCCATTCATGTTACCCAAACATGTCTCCTGGCTGCCCCAAGGAGCTGGGAGTCCTGCAGGTGTCACATACCACTGTAGCAATGTAGATGATCCGCTGCACGGTCTCAGCCTTGTCGATGCAGCGCCGCAGCAGGCACTGCGCGTCCAGACGGGCCTGAGAATAGGAGTCGCTGAACCGGGACAAGAGGGCAGCCTTGCGCGCCACACTGGACAGCTTGGAGCGGTTTGGGGACGGGCTCCTGACCTTGACAGCGGTGGAGGGGCTGGCAGATCGGCTGCGGCTGCGAGGGGCAGGGCTGGGAGACCGGCTCCTGGAGCACCTGTTGATGAGCAAGAATCAGCCGGGAAAACTCTTTGATTTGCTTCTTGAGTAGAGCAAAGATCACCTGGTGGCCATTAATCCGACCATCCGGAGGCAAAACCCCTCATCTGAGGAGTTCAGACGTGATAAGACTTCCCTATTATCTAAAGCCAGAATCTGGTATCAGCCTTCTTTACCAAAAATTTATAAGTAACTAGGATTTCTATACATCTCCAGAATGCATTCATGTTCAAAACCCATTGTACAATCTTTGCTGACATCGAGGCACCAAAATGTCTACAAATGCATCATTTATCATGGCCTATGTGATAAATGTGGCCCAAATGGAGCTTAAGCTTCCACTTTAAGCTCCATAAAGAACCCTAAGGAAAATCCACCGCGGTGCTAAGTCCTCTCTTTCTGAAGCCCCCACTGCACTCTGTTGCAGCCTTCTTTCTAATAAAACTTTCCTTTTCAAACCTATTGTTGCTGGTGAATTCTTTTTACCATTTGCAAGCCAACCACTCTGGGCTACCAGGGCTCTGATACCATGCCTGGCATCTTGGTGGCCATACGGGGACTTTACTGGGATTTCCCCTTCCTTTTTCGCCATTTCCCTTGATGGTCTGGTTCTTTACCCTTGGAAACTGACACTCCCTGGTGAGTTCACTCTTTGGTGAGATCCCAAAGCCCTAGAGACGGGATACCTGTCTATCATTGCCCTTAAGGGTGAGGGACTAGCCAGGGCTCTTTTCTGCTTTTGGACTGCCAGTGAACTAGATTGAATACTCTTTAGTGACTGATGGTTTCCGGCCAAGGACACTCCCCAGTGTTACCCAAAGGCCAAGACAAAATTGTTGATTTGCTATTGCCCATCAGGGTGGTAAGTCCACTTTCACTTAACATAGTGTAAACCACACCTTGGAAATGAGCATTGGGGTTCTCAATTCTGCAGACACTCTCTACCATTGTTGACTCAATTTTGGATTCAACTTTGGTACAGACGTCGTATCCCAAGTTACAGGTGAGTTGCCTTTCACAAATAGGTTTGAGCTGACCACTCAAACAATGGCACAGCCAGACTGGTCATCCAGGCAAGGGCAGGCCCTCTATCCCCCAAACAGAGTGAACCAAAGGGAAAAGGAAGGTCCAGATCCCTCAGGAATTCGGGGACCTTGCAGTCCCTTATCTAAACCCAACATAGGTTCTCTTTATTCTTCAGTTCCATCCAACTCACCCTTGGGTTGCTTTCATGAAAAATCAGTCCATTTTGACCCATAAACTCCCAAAAATAAGCATATAATTTTCTTTTGTAATCCCTAACAAATCAAATTGGCCTATTAATGGAACTTTGGATCACAATATTATTTTACAAGATGATGCATTTTACCATAACCTCGAAAAGGATTCATAGGTCCCATATATTCAGATCTTTTTGGCTTTATCTCAAAACACAGAATTACATAAAAATTTTCATCTATCCTTCCAAGGAATTTCCTCCTTCCCGATTCTGGTGCCTTAGATGATCCTTTTGCCTATCACACTGTCCTCTGCCTGCTCCTGCTTCACCTACACTCTCTCCATCTGCTCCATCCCCTGATCAACCACCCCCATATCCAAATACTTTATCCCTCTCAGGTGCTCGCACATGAGTCACATATGCCACTAATACGGAGTCCTCGGAAAATCCCAAAATGTTTTTCCTCTCTGCAAGGTGGCTAATGGAGATTTAGGAGCAATCCAAGTTCATGTCCCTTTTCTAATGCCTGATCTTTCACAAATTCAATCCACGTCTGAGTTCATTTAGTTAGAATCCCTCTAAGTTCATTCAAGAATTTCAGGCTTTAACTATTGCCTTTTTCTTTAACCTAGCAAGACATATTTGTGATATTAACTACTTGCTGCTCCCATGAAGGCAGATCACACATATGGCCAAGTTTGGGCAGATGAAGCTCATGTTCTTAATCCTCACAATGATAAAGCTGGGCCAGAAGCTGTCCCCGACACAGAACCCAATCGGCAATACCAGGACACTGATGCCAGCCCAAACAGAGGCAGGAGCAAACAAGATGACATGATCTCTTTTTTGTTGGAAGGAATGAAAAATGCAGTAATAAAATCTTTTAATTTTTTTTTAATTATGAGAAATCACTCAGCAGCCATCTGAGAACCTCATCCTTTTCTAGGCTACACTGGTGCAAGTTTTGACCCCAAAATCCCTAAGGGCGTACCCATTCTGGCAATACATTTTATAAGTCAGGTTTCCCCAGACATCAGACAAAAACTCCAAAAATTAGAGCAAGGCCCACAAATTCCCTTTCTTACTTTATTAAATGTAGCCTTTAAAGTTTTCAATAATCAGGAGGAAATATCAAAAATAAAAAGGGTTCAAAGAGGAAAAATGCTGGCACCACAATAATCGCATGGTGACAGCACTGGCACATTCTTTTTCATTAGCCAATAACCCCAAGGCTCATCCCCATAACACTAACAGAACAGTGGCCTGTATCGCTGCAGAAATCCAGGACACTAGAGTAAAAAATGACCAAAACCTCCAGGCTACAACCTGCCCCAGGACCCTGTCCTCATTGCAAACAAGAGCATCAGTGGAAAAGTGAGCGTCCCTCCCTCCCTCATGATGGAGAGGCACTTCTTTCTCCTAAGCCATCACAGCCACAACCTCACCAACATACCTGACAAGGGGGTACTGCAGAGTGAGGACAAGGCGAAGGACAAGCACCTCTAACTCTATTCCTGGATTATTACCGAGCCTCTGAAAGTCATCCTCTAGTTGACTGATGGGGCCTTGGGTCCTTCCAGGCCTTTGTCTTTTCCATTTCTATGGATGAGCCTTGGGTAAATCTAATTGCAGCTGACCAAATCTTCTTACCACACTTTCCTACTCCAACCATTTCTCTCCATGCTGGTAAAATGGAAACATCTCCACCTCTGTGTAATCTTATTATTTCCCCCACCATCCATACTCATAATATCATTGGAATTTTTTTAATTTGTAATGTCACTTTGGGATGTATAACTGTTATAATGATACTCCTGTGGGTGACATTAACCCATTTGAGGCCTTAGCCTCTTACAACAAAACTCTGAATCTATCTCATCACTACTGATTTTTAAGCCTTTTAAATGAACTAATATAGCAAGGCCTTCAGTATACACCACCTCTTGCACTCCTAATACCATTCATGCATGTTACTATAATGATATAACCAACATGGTAAATAACCATCACGCCACTTATATCCTATCCATTGCACATACACTTCCCTGGTTTTAAACACCATCGCCATGTCCCCCACACCCCCCCAACAAGTTGGGACATTAACATGACTTTTCCTCTCATATGGGGCTTCTCAAAAACTGTCAAAGGCCCCTTTCCTTTGTTGTCAACATTGTAATCAAACCAATAACACTCTATTACCTGCCTGCCCCAACCTGAGCTCTTATAGCTTTGCGGTACTGCTAAAAATTATTTAAAACCTTTTCAACCTTTGGCTTTATTTCACCTTCAAAATTATCTTTCTTATGGTGTTTGTACTCCGGGTACAATAGCCCCCACCCAAATCACTGCCTTGAACATAACTTCCAATCTAGAATCCCATTCTAGAAGAAAAAGGGCCCCAGGACTTACTGCGGCCAGAGCTGTGGGAATTATTGCAACTCTTGCCCCTTGGGGAGGTTTTACTTACCGTGAAATCACACAATGGAAACTTTTCACCTCCCTTGAAATACTGGCAAATACTGGCCTTAGCAAATACTGGTGCAAGTCTATCATTGATAGAAAAGTCGTAGGCTCACTAGCAGGAATGGTTTTTGAAACAGACAAGCTCTATATTATCTCCTAGCTGAACAAGGAGGCATCTGTGCTGTCATCAGTAAAACCTCTTGGTCTACATTAATGTGTCAGGAAAAGTGGAAACTCATGTCCAGGAAATTTTCAAAGAAGCCAAATGGCTAAACACACTCTCCCAAAGTAACCAAAACTGAGTCAAAACCTTTACTGATTGGTGTCCAAAAATTCCCTGGCTCAATCATAGCTCACTGCAGCTTCAAACTCCTGGGCTAAAGAGCTCCTCCTGCCTCAGCCTCCAGAAGATATAGGACCACAAGTATACCCAGCTAATTTATTTATTTTTTCATGTTTTTTAGAGATTAGTTCAGTCATGATGCCCAGGCTGGTCTAGAACTCCTGGACTCAAGCAATCTTCCCTGCCACAATCTCCTAAGTAGCTGGAATTCCCAGTTTTCACATATATAACTTTTGCCCTATTTTAGGGTGGAGGTGGGGATTGGAAGGTCAGATGAGCAAATACATGTGGAAGTACTGAGTATATTATAAACTACTGTATCAGTAAAAAGTATATTGCTCTCAAGTTCGAAGTAAGTTATCAGACTAGCTAGCCCAAAGTAAATGGGTCTCCAAAAAGGGAGGTTTTACAGAAGAAACTATCTGGCAAAAGGTAATGCAAAACTGAGTACAACAGCCAGGGGGTTGAGTTGGCAGGGAGATGCATTTATGGTGTTTGCCAATTTCTATTGTGTAAATACTACCACCATGTCTGACAGGCACAGAATTGGTTCTTGGTAGCCAGTACAAGCTGGCACAAACACAACACTGACAGAATGATTCCCCAAAATTAAAGACTGTGGTGACATTTTGACAATGGGAATGGGGACTCTCATAGCCTGCAGCAGGACACGTTAAGGCCTTCAGGGGTGTTGTTAAAAACAATAAAGGAAATGCAGAGACTCCAGAGAAACATCTACTTTGTCCTTACTTAACACTATCTTCATGACCTGTCTTAACATCTGTGCATCAGTAGAAAGGGATTTCAAAAGAACACTTCACCTACACATGCCATCAAAGTCAGATATAAAAAGGAAATGCCCTGCAGTAAAATGGATAGTATCCCTGGAGAGAGAGACAGCATCCCTGCAGTAAAACGGACAGCATCCCTAGGGAGAGGCCTCCCAGGCCTCAGAGAAAATGACCCTCATATTGTAGAGTATTCTTTCCATGTGGGTACTACCTCTTGCACCACAGGCCCACACAAATCTGGTTTCAAGCCAAAAAACTTTCCTTAGGGTCGGGCGTGGTGGCTCATGCCTATAATCCCAGCTTTGGGAAGCTAACACAGGGGAATCACCTGTGGTCAAGAGTTCGAGACCAGCCTGGCCAACATGGCAAAACCCCATCTCTACTAAAAACACAAACAAAATTAGCCGGACATGGTGGTGTGTGCCTGTAATCCCAGCTACTCGGGGGGCTGAGGCGGAGAGAATTGCTTGAACCCGGGAGGCGGAGATTGCAGTGAGTGGAGATTGTGCCATTGCACTCCAGCCTGGGCGACAGAGCAGCATTCCGTTTCAAAAAAAAGACTTTTCCTTCCCCATATCTCACAGCCCAAAGTTAATTAGTGTCCCAGTGTTGGCAAGCCAGGAGGTATTTTCTCTCTCTGGAAGAGGCGCAGTTAAGAAAACAATCCCTTGCCAGATTGGTGAGGTTTTAGTTCAGAGTATCATTTTACTTATTCCCCCCCACCCGCGCCTTAACTCATCAAAACAAAAAAAAAGAAAGAAAAGAAAAAGAAATAAAAAGCTTAAATGAGAAGAACTTTGAGTTTGCCTGACCTTCCCTGGAGTCCAGATTTCTCAGCAGACAGAACCGCTATCTCCTCCTTCAGGTTTCGGAGCTGTTTCTCATAATCGCTTGTGGCTTCTGTGTCCCGCTGGTCTGCGTTCCGCTTGATTGAGCTCCTCTGCTCAGACCTCCGCTGCTCTGAGCTCCGAGGCTCCCCCCGCCTCTTCTCTGAGCTCCTGTGATCTGTGTTTCTGTGGCGAGCATCCTCCTGGGCTTGAAGAGATTTAAGCCTGAAGAGCAAAGAGAGAGGGCAGAAGAAGGAAAGAGAGGTGAGAGTGAGGGAAGGAAACAAAGGCAGTAAGCAGCCATTGGCATCCTTAACCACAGACGCTACTCTACTCAGCCTGCCATATTGCATTGGGAAACTCTGATGGAAAACAGATTAGCAAGGAGCACAACTGACAGGGTCAGGGTGCCACTCCATGTCTGCAGCTTGCATAGGGAAAAGTTCCTAAAGAAAGGACACTCATGCAGAACAGTGGGCCCAGTCAGAGTGTCCCACGTTGGACAGATCTTAACTGCATAAAACTCTGAAAACATTTGCCCTCCAAAAGCTATTCAGGAAGCTGGTCTAAAATATAATCTCCTACCCTCACTAGTTCTTTAATTCTCTGAATAGTCTCAACTCTATTTTTAATATATCATCGGAATATTTAATATTAATTAGAATCTTTGATTCTCTGAACAGTTGGAATATGAGAGAGAACTATAATGGAAATTGAATAACATCCAAAACACTAGCTGGAAGTGTGAACCTATGAAAATAATATAGAAAACACACCAAAAAAATCTTCAGAAATAAAATTGGCATCCTCATTAAGATACAAAGAGGCATGGCCACCATAAAACAAGAGCAAAAGCCAAAAGAAGAGTTTATGCTGTGATGAAAATGACAAGGATGTAAGCGGAAAAGGTAAGATTAATAAGATAAGGAAGTTAATGAGATTAAGAAAGATGCAAAGAAGCTGAAGATGTAATGGAAGGAAAAGCTGCACTACAAATAGGAACAAATAGGAAATTGATGAGTAATATGATTGATGGATTTGAGAAGTTATAACAAATAGGAAATTCAAGATTAAAATGATGGGGAGGGGGAAGACAGAAGTAGAAAACAGAACAGTGTTCCTAGTTAAGATCTATGGGTGATCCTGACAAAATCAGAACTGGAACACGTGTGAGGTTAATCAAAAGGTGTGTGTGTGTGTGTGTGTAAAATACACCTCCCACTTACTCTTTTGGGAGGGGGATCAAAATTAGAATTCAGGAAGGCATAACCTTAAAAGATCAATGTTTATTTTCCCCTTCTAGAAGGTCATCTTTAAGGAATAATCTCATAATTTAACCGAGATTTTCCACAAAAATTATCCCAATATTATTTCCAATGTTAAAAATTAGTATACAAGTAAATATTCAATATGAGGGAAATACCCAAATGATGCAACATGATCAACCTATTTAAAACTAACTTTTGCAGTATGTTTTTCTTAGTGATAGAGGAAAACAATGTCAGGTGAAAAGTTAGGATCCAGAATTGTATACTTTATTCTGTAGTCTCAGCTCTATTTTTAATACATTAATTGGAGAGAAGGTAATATAGTAACAATCACTGATTCTGGAATTATGAAAGGGTTTTTATATTCCTTTATACTATGTTGTACTTCAGAAGTTTTCCATAGTAGATAAGTAATATTTTTGTACTAAATATAAATATAATTAATAAAAATGCTTCTGCCTTTTCTCTCTGATGGTGAACAGATTCTTTCATGTTGTAATGGAGCACAAAAAAAAAGCTAAGTTCAATGATTTAGGCTGCAATAATCCTGTAATTTTTTTCTTACTGCTTTTTTAGCTGATTTATTTCCTCCTCTGCAGCCAAAAGGGATATGGCCGATCTGTTCTTGGTTTCTTCAAGATTCTTTTCAGTTTCAGCCAGACTGTAAGAGAAATCAGTAACTAAAGACAGATTTTTCAAAATTGGCAGACTTTCTAAATCAAGGCAGAGGCTCACTTAGGAACTTTTTGTATATGACATAAATTCAACATAAACAAGATCAAGTTAAAAGACATCTGCATTCAATCAGGTTATGTTGGAAATATTGTGGTGGACTTGTATGCAAAAACATGCTAACATCCTTTGCTCAAATGTCAAACACTAGGAAATTATAGAGCTACTGCCCCCAAAAGACTATTAGTATTAGAAAATAAAGGACAAAGAAACCTGTTCAGTTTCTCCTTCTCAACCTCCTAATTCATTTGCTCTACTTACACCAAAGCCCCAGGTTGCTTCTCTCTACAAAATCTCCATTTTTCTACAATATACCAAACATTGATATTTATTACTTTGCACTGTGGAGCTGCATATTTCCTAAATATTAAAAAAAGTAATAATAACGTGCTCACCTATAAAGTCCTCACAATCACCCTTGACTGTCAGCTACTCATGTCTTCCTGCCTCTGACTTTACCTCTTATTGAGCACAAATTCTCTGAGTTTTCACTGTATCACTGTCATTGTTAGTTTCAAATCTCCTTCATCGTAGACAAATCATAATAAATCTTATTATTTAAGTCTATCTATTTTAAAATAAGTGGAGCTGGGTGCAGTGGCTCATGTCTGTAATTCCAACACTTTGGGAAACTAAGGCAGGAGGATCTCTTGAGCTCAGGAGTTCAAGACCAGCCTATGCAACACAGTAAGACCCTGTCTCTGTAAAAAAATAAAAATAAAATTAGTCAGGCATGGTGGTGTGTGCCTGTAGTCCCAGCTACTCAGGAGGCTGAGGTGGGAGAATCTCTTCAGACTAGGAGTTTGAAGCTGCAGTGAGCTATGATTGTGCCACTGCACTCCACCCTGGGTGACAAGAGTGAGAGCATGTCTCAAAAAACAAAAACAACAACCTAAGCATACTCTATGACTCAGCAATTCCATTTATAGAAATTTATTTATTTTAGAGAAAGGATCTGCTTGAACCTGGGAGGCAGAGGTTGCAGTGAGCTGAGATGATGTCATTGCACTTCAGTCTGGGTGACAGAGCAAGACTCCATCTTGGGGAAAAAAAAAAAAAAAAAGGAAACGAGATGGATGATATTGAATGAAGACCAATGATCCTCAATAAATTGCCCCAGAACAGTGAGACTTGAGTTGACAGTCTTCTTGACTTCTCTGACCCTGCTAGAGATCACAGCGCTTGTCCTGAGGCTAAGAGAGGGCAACTGCCTATCAAACTCACACCAGCGTTTCTCCTTCCCTCTAGATGAAAGAACAGTGGAAGGCAAAACATTGGGATTTTCACTTAAAGAGTGAAGCAGACTAAGAAATAATGTGCTAACAGCATCCCTATCAATCCCAGAGATCCTATCCCCCACCTGCTTCCTCCCCTAATAAATGCCCACTCAGCAAAGGCCTTCCACACACTATCCCCAACTCTCCCAAACAAAGTTTGCCTCCCCTTCTCTGAGCTCCATTCACATTTACGTCATTGCATTCACACTCTAAACTATTTGAGGAGAATGATTTTATTTTATTTATCTCTACCCCCAGCACCTAAACAGTGCCTGGTACACAGTATATTTTTTTATGAGAAATGAATGAATGAATAAAATGTCTAAAGATGAAAAGAAGGCCACAGTAGCATTAACTTCATAATATGGCTATTGGAGATTGAAAGGAAACTAGTATGATTTAATTCAAATATAAAGATGTAACGGGTTTTTTAAAGCAAATATGGGAAAATGAACATTTATATCAAGAGAAAATGAACTGTAGAAAACGGGCCAAGAAAAGAAGGAAAATACAAGCAGGAATGAAGAACTTGGGTATTTTTCTCCTAACACATACAAGCGCATGCACATACAAGCAAACGCACATGCTGACTTCACATGCTCAGATGACATACAGAGAGAAGAAAGAAAAGCACATTCATATGCCAAGAATTGTTTCAATCAGGCTGGCATTCTATTGAAATGTTTTGCTGCATATCTGTTAATTCATTGAGCAGATTATTGAGGACTTACTATGAGCCAGGCATGATGCTCAGCACTGGAGATACAACAGTGTCAGACAGCAATGCAAGACAGTAGCCCTTTGGATCTTCCAGGCTAGTCAGGGTGATAGATCATAAATATGCAAGCAAGTTTATTTTTTAAGACCCCAGTTGTGACTTCACTCTCTAACTTTTCTCATAAGTGCTATTATAAGAAAAGCAAATCACCATGAAAGAGAATTAAAGGAGAGAAGAGAGACCTTTTAACATATGGTAGTCACAGAAGAACTCTGAGAAAGGCACATTTAAGCTGAGACTTGGAGGATAATAAAGAGCCAGGCAGGCAAAGAGCCAGTGGAAGACTGGAAAGTTCTTTCAGGTAGTGGAAGAGCACAGGCAAAGCCCTCAAGGTTAGGAAGTAGACAGTAGACTGGGCTGGGGGAAAGTGACATGAGATGACATTGGAGCAGAAAAACAAGAGGAGTGCTGGGAGCCCTGGTGAGAAATTTAGAATTTTTTTCTAAGTATAAAAGGAAGAGACTACTTAAACAAACTTATAAGAAAAAAAAAAAAAACTCCATCAAAAAGTGGGCAAAGGACATGAAGAGATGCTTCTCAAGAGAAGACATTTATGCGGCCAATAAACATATAAAAACAAGCTCAATATCACTGATTATTAGAGAAATGCAAGTCAAAGCTACAGAGAGACACTGTCTCATGCCAGTCAGAATGGTGATTATTAAAAAAGTCAAGAAACAACAGATGCTGGCAAGGCTGCAGAGAAATAGGAACTTTTTCACACTGTTAGTGGGAATGTAAATTAGTTCAACCATTGTGCAAGACAGTGTGGTGATTCCTCAAGGATCTATAACCAAAAATATCATCTGATGTACCAAAGGAATATAAATAATTCTATTATAGATACATGTACATGTATGTTTACTGCAGCACTCTTCACAATAGCAAAGACATGGAATCAACCCAAATGCCATTGATGATAGACTGGATAAAGAAAATGTGGTATATACACACCATGGAATACTCTGCAGCCAAAAAAAGAATACGTTCACGTCCTTTTCAGGGAAATGGATGAAGCTGGAAGCCATTATCCTTAGTAAACTAACACAGGACCAAAAAACCAAACACTGCATGTTCTCGCTCATAAGTGGGAGCCAAACAATGAGAACACAGGGAGTAAAACAATATACACTGGGGCATGTTGGGAGTTGGGAGGAAGGAGAGCATCAGAATAAATAGTTAATGTACGTGGGGCTTAATAACTAGGTGATGGGATAATCTGTGCAGCAAACCACCATTGCATATGTTTACCTATATAACAAACCTGCACATCCTGCACGTGTATCCCAGAACTTAAAATAAAATATGACGTAATATTTTAAAAAGAAGGAAACTAACTGCTTTTAATCAGAAGGATGACTTGATACAATAAAAAAAATATATATTTGCTAAGTGAAAAATGGATGGTGGTTGAGCAAAAATTGAAGTGGGGAAGCCAGTTAGAAGGAAGGCAATTGGTTCAAGAAAGAGATATCAGAGGCTTGAACCAGGGCAGCGGTGGCAGAATAGAAAGAAAGGGGCAAGTGTGAAAGTTTAGGAGGTAGTTTCAATTGGACAATGTGATAGATTGGATATAGGAGAGAATGAAAAACAAGATTCATCATCAGAATCCAGGTATAAAATCTAGAAGTATTCCCTTGCCTGGGGTTTCATCGAACCTGTGCAGAGTTGTGGCCATTAGGCCATAGTTATTGGAATTTGCACTTTGGAACTAAGTCAGAACCAAACCAGTCTCCACAAGATTAGACAAAGGGAACCCCTTGGGTGGGCCATTCATTCCATAGTGGGCAGCACCCAGCTTAGGAGACAAGTAGGCAATGTAAGGGAAGGAAGAGAGAGATGGTTACCACAGAATGTGGAGAACAAATTCTTTTAGTCATACCTTAAATTTAAAAATAGAATAAGAGCCACAGGTGGGTTAAAACTAAGCAAAGTGGAGAAAGGACACCCTATTCAACAAATGGTCCTGGGAAAACTGGGAAGCCACATATGAAGAATAAAACTGAAACCTCTCACCTTATGCAAAAATCAACTCAAGATGTATCAAAGACTTACATCTAAGAGCTGAAACCATAAAAATTCTACAAGATAACATCGGAAACTCTGTTAGGTAGTGGTTTAGGCAAAGAATTCATGCCTAAGAACCCAAAAGCAAATCCAACAAAAACCAAAATAAATAAATGGAACCTAATTAAAAAGCTTCTGCACAGCAGAAGAAACAAAGAAACAAAAACAAACTTCTGCTCAGTAGAGTAAACAGACAACCCACAGAATGGGAGAAAATATTTGCAAACTATGCATCTGACAAAGGACTAATATCCAGAATCTACAAGGAACTCAAAAAAAATCAGCAAGAAGAAAACAATTAATCCTATTAAAAAGTGGTCAAAAGACATGAATAGACAACTCTCAAAAGAAGATACACAAACAACCAATACACACATTTAAAAAATGCTTAACATCACTAATTATCAGGAAAATGCAAATTTAAATCACAATGCAAACCAAAATCACAATGCAATACCATCTTACTCCTGCAAGAATTGTCATAATTTAAAAATCAAAAAATAACAGATGTTGGCGTGGATGTGGAGAAAAAGGGAACACTTTTATACTGCTTGTGGGAATGTACAACCACTATTGAAAACAGTATGGAGATTCCTGAAAGAGTTAAAAGTAGAACTACCATTTGATTCAGTAATCCCACTACTGTGTACCTACCCAATGAAAAAGAAGCCATTACATGAAAAAGATGCATGCACATGCATGTTTATAGCAGCACAATTTGCAATTGCAGAGATACAGAACCAACCTAAATGCCCATCAACTAATTAGTGGATAAAGAAAATGTGGTATATATACACCATGAAATACTATTCAGACATAAAATGAAATGAAATGATGGCCTTTGCAGCAACCTGGATGGAGCTGGCAGCCATTATTCTAAGTGAAGTAACTCAGGAATGGAAAACCAAATATCATATGTCCTTACTTAAAAGTGGGAGCTAAGCTATGAGGATGCAAGGGCATAAGAATGATACAATTGACTTTGGGGACTTGGAGGGAAAGGTGGGAAGAGGGTGAGGTATAAAAGACTGCATGTTGGCTATAGTGTATACCACTCAGGTGACAGGTGCACCAAAATCTCAGAAATCACCACCAAAGAATTTATCCATGTAACCAAATACCACTTGTTCCCCAAAATCTATTGAAATAACATAAAAATAAAAATAAAAAACTAAACTAAGAAATCCAGGAAAAAGCTTCAAGCACCTTTATGGATGCAACTTTCAAATGGTTGAGGGAGAGAATATATACAGAGAGAGAAGGCACCCATAAATGATAAAGCAAATAGGGCCAAAGGAATATGAAAGGGTATATGGATATTTTTAGTGCTATTCTAGAAGATTTGCTGTGTTTGAAATTTTTTTCAAATGAAAAGCTTTTTTTAAGAATGCATTAAGTTTCTTGACCCATGGTGCCCCTTACAGGTAACAACAGTATCACTGAAACAGACAGAGAAGTGGGAAACCCTGGACCTTATTGGTGCCAACAGCCATCAAGAACCAGTAAAGTCTTGGTGCACTGCCTCACAGAGAGAGGAAAGTGGAGGGTCATCTGCAGCAGTTGCTAGCTAATGTCCCAGGAAACCTAACCAGACCAGACATGCACAACTCAGGACCCATCAGCACAAAACACTAGTGCCTAGATGAAACCAAGGCCAGCAAGAACCCAGAAGGCAGTACAAGAACGAAAACTCCTCATGTCCATCACCAGGAGAATATGCAAGCATCCCTTCCCTAGGAAGGATGAGGGGAAAGGAGACCCCATGAGAGGGCAAAACAGGCTCTTAATGCATGTTTGTACTTGGAATGAGCTGAGTATTTAGAGAAAATGGACTACGATAAACCAGAAATGACTGTGTGACCTTGAAGTGGCATATTGAAGGATCCTCCAAAATGAGCTGACATTAGTTGAAATAAACTGTAGAAGATTTTATGCTTTTTGCATATTACATTTATAAATTTTGACTGCCTTAGGTATATAACAACTCATTGATTATGACTCCAATTGGAAAAATGAATGGGTGTGTATAGAGGTGCAGGCACAAAAAAATGTCTAGAGCAAAATATACTAAAATGTTAATGGGGACTAGAAAACAGGTGATTTTCATCATATTTTTATTGTTTGCATTTTGAGAAGGAAATGGATATTAGTTTTATAATCAGGCAAAACTAAATCAATAGAGATTTTTTTTCCTTAGAAAAAAGGAAATGTCATCAGAGAACAAGGCAGAGCACCACACATTATTCCATCCCAAGCCTTAACTAGCTATTAATTTTTTAAAAAACGACTTCCTTTCTGTCCCACTTATGTCAACAATGAAGCAATGTTGTGGTAGGAGGAACTCCCATTGGTGGATTTTTGTTAGGTATGTCAAACACAGTTTCATACATATTTGTCTACCTTCCTCAAGTACAAACCCAAGGTCTGCAATTTTCTTTGCAGTGATTCCCTAAGCTTGCTACCTGGCCCTGCCCATAACATGCATCTGATATCTGTTGTTGCCTGACATTTAACTTTTTAAAAATATTTTTTTCTACCTAATAGTTAATCCAAAATCTTGAATTCTTCCTTTCTTAAAAGACTGACTCTCTCAGATTCAGAGAGGCACACATACTCCCCTAAATGAGTGTAATGGACAGGTAGATGCATCCTGTTTCATTTGACTTTTGCTCTCTTTCTATGAATTTTCCTCTTTGCCTGATTGTTCACCCTCTTTTATTCTTTCCCTTTTGCATCTCTCTTAAAATTTTTCTCCCAAAAGGTAGATTTTTCTCTTTACCTGTTTGTCAATATGGGCTGACGACGTATCTATGAAGAAGAAACTCCAAAGAAGGAATCAAGGACCAGGTATCATAATATAGATATACTGTCCCCAAATCCACAGACTGTAAATTCTCTCTCTCTCTCTCTCTCTCTCTCTGTCATACACAGACACACAAACACAATCATATTAATTATTTGCAAATGCCCACATTTCACATGAGCCATTATTCTCCTTTCAAATTTAAAACTTAATTAAACTGAAAACAATTCATTTTGGAAAAAGATAACTTGCATTCCTCTTACTCGTCTTGAACCTGGTTGAGTTGACTCCAGGTTGAGTTCAAATTAGCGTCTAATTGTTGTGCATCCCGATCCCGACGACTGGGATCTTTACGTCTCTCCCTGTCAAACGTGTCC